GACTGTGGATGGAAATGGCCTTAATGCTTGTTCCTTCTTCATCCTCTAGGCTTCCAGAAGAAACATTTATGTTACTTATTTTCCTAGATACATGAAAGCAAATCCAGCACTATTAAGGAGGCAGAAAATTCTAATTAAACTATTGTTTTTGCACCTATGGAAGTCTGCTTTGTTAGGCGGGACAATGGATGACCACTGTTTCCTGTGATGCGCAGTTTTCCCATGGGAAATTGACATGCAGACATGTAAAGAGGTGTAACCGGCGTCATAGCATTGACCTGGGAGTCAGTATCCCCAACATTCATCCAAATTCCCCATGCCCCATGGTGAAAAATACATAAAAATCCGTAATGTGCTGGCACTGCCCAGTGAACATTTCCCATTTGGTCATGTGACTCCCATGCAGACACTCATAGGAGGCATTGTGAATTATCCCCAACCATCAGGAGATAGAATTCTTGTGAAGTGTGGGGGTTGTGGTATCTACCCTACCTCCCCAGTGATAAACCAGGTCATGCCTTGGAGGTAATCTGTGGATAACAAAGCCTTACTTAAGTGGAAGTATTTTTGTCATTGTTGTAAATGAAGCATTAAGGATGGCTAGAAAGAAAATAACTGGGAACACAACAAAAGTACCTTTTAAATTAAAAACTCTTAGAGAAATAGCTATTGAATTGTTATGAGAGAGAGAGAGAGATACAGTAATAGTAGAGAAAAAGGGTTTTTCTCATTTCTTGCCATTGAGTTTTATTTTTCAATTCAGCCCCAACATAGCTTTTGTGCAAATGGATCTCTGCAAACTTCGTTCTGTTTCACTATTGTCATTCATTTGAAAGATGACTTTAAAGTTTTTTTATTCCCCACCACCAAAATACCAAAGTTGCAACCAAGGCCTTCATTTGGAAAGCCCATTGCCTGATCACTAAATGAAAGGTCCTGAGGGTGACGGGGATGGGGAAGAACCCTCCATATTGTCCCCTGCCTTCTAGAAAACTAAGGTTGAACCCTTGACAGGAGGAGATGGGCAATGGATCCCCGAGACTGCCTTCCATCTTCTGGGCTGTGTCATAAAGTAGGAAATAATGCCGTTTCCCTGCCCTGAATTGAAGTGCCCAAAACAAGCACTACTTTTGTTGGGCTCCGGTTCATTAGTGCCTTCCTTTTATTCCAGACTAGAAACACAATGTTCTATCCTGTTCAAAGGGGGAACAGCAAAACACTTGGAGAATTTTCTCCCATCTGCTTATGACTATAACTCCTCCATTATCATACCTCTCTTTCTCTAAAGACGTGGCAGTAAAACATTTCAAACTGAAAATTCAAGTACTTTCTACTCATTATGATTTCTTAGGTCTTAGTCCAATGGACTTGTACTTTCCCCTAATTACTAATTTTATCTATTGAAAGCATTGAAATAGCAACTAAGGTAAATTTTCCAAATGTTGCACCTCCAGATGTTGACTTTTCTTGCGCTCACTTGGAGGTCATTTGCTTTTCTGAGTCTAAGAAAACTGTTCCACAATTAGCATATGGAGGTTCTTAAATCAGTAGAAATTGCCCTGCAAGCCAGGGATAGATCATGCACACGAAATATTTTGTTTTATGATCTATAATACATTTTAAGAACTACTTGAATATTCCTTTTCCTAGAACATGTCAGTGGGTTAAAAAGAACTCATTGGAATGTGTGTCACGTTCCTGCCTCCCTAAGCACAACCAGCCATACCTTTTCCTCAGGAGCAGTGACACTGAAACCACCATCTCTCACAGGTAAACCCATTAGGATGTTTTTTCCTAGAAACTTTATTAGGTATGTATTACAATGCTGCCTGCATTTCATTTGCATATAATTTTTATGTCAACATTCTATGACGACCCCACTCTTCAAACACTCTAGGATATTACTTGAATTGCATTGTATTGGGTTTTGTCCTATTCTTTCTCCATCACTCGAAGGGATGAGCTGGTGTGTGTCGGGAAAGAGGGCAACGGGCGGGAACAGTGAACCTACCAGTGTTACCGGAGCACGCTGCCTTTGCTGCCCCCTCAATCTAGTCTGAGCATCAGAGGGTGGAAATGACCTCGAGAGGTTACCGAGTGCCTGCTTCTAGATGGAATCCAAGCTGTGTCGCTCTGCTGAGTGGTTTTTTGTTTCTTCCTCCTGGAGCTCCAAAAATAGAGGCTCTTTGACTTCCTTCATAAACCGCCCAGCACCTGCATGAACAAGTTGAGTATCCACTCTGTGCAGAAGTGCTGGGGTGGGCAGAGTGCAGTGAGATGAATAAAAAAACATGACAGTCCACCATGGAGACACATATAACTAAGAATGCAGGGGGCTGGGGGAAGGCTCAGGGTGTAGACTTGCACCCAGTCTGAGATGGCCAATGGGCCAACCCCAAGTTCAGAATTCTCTAACTCCCAGCCCTGCGTGTGGTCATTGAGAATCAGTGTTGTGTGAAGTTCTTCCTGTCACCCAGTGGTCTTCAAATTGGTCTGTCTATGACTTCCTGAGGGACAACACTGGCTTCCCACCTCCCATGTTGACCACTCCCCGCTGCCTCCTGGACACCTCCCTCCCAGGACTCCTGCAAGCCTGACGCTGGCAGAACCTGTCATCTGTCACCAAGTCCTGTCATTTCTGCTTCCTGAACCTTCATAATGGAGGAGAGAGACAATGAATAAACATTTTTTAAATGAACATGATTATTTCAGAAAATAGAAGGAGGGTTATGGGATCAAGAGTGATATTTAAGGGGCCGAAAAGTCACCTTTATTACTTAAAGCTGACAGTGGAGAATGGTAAGTGGGCTTCCGATTATTGAACCCCATCATCAGCCAGACTCGCCCTGCAGCAAGCGCCTGAGGTAGACCTCCTTGCTCTGGAGCAGAGAGCACTCCCTGGAGGTGCAGCTGAAAATGGGTTTCTGAGAGAAAGGGGAGGTGCAAGGCTATGCAAGTGTATCTTTTCTCTCCCAGGAGGGGTTCCAGGGGCGGGTCCACAGCTGGAAGGAGGATCCTCCCGCTGCAAGCTTGGCCAGCTCACAGAGGTCTGTGTGGTGAGAGCTCAGTGACCCCCCCGACAAGAGGGTGTGAAATGATGCCACAGATGTAGACCAAGGCCAGCTGGCACAGGCTGGGGCAAGGCAGGTGCTTACTAAATGGCTTTTCATGTTTCCTCTCCCCTCTGAGTCCCCTAGCCCCTGAACACAGCTCCGTGGCTCTCACCATGACATCTGTGTCCTATTCATTCATTTGGGGGGTGAGAGGTGGGGCTGATTGTAATCATACAATAAATGCACCATAAATATCTACCCAACAATGTATGCAAACACCAATCCAGCCCGATTTCAAATATTTGGAAACCCTGTCTCCGTAAGTCCTCTCACACTTGTCAAACTTGGTGTCCAGGTTTTTTTATTCGGAGTTTATGACTGTGACAGAGGTTGGAGGAATTGTCTGTGCCTGAGGTAGGACTGACTAGGTGACTTTTGAGCAGCATATGGACTCCTGTGTTTAATGTACAGGTAGTCACTCTCCCCCAAGCTCCTGAGACTAAGGACTGTCAGCAGGGGTGGGAAGTGGTTCTTACTGGGTAAGATTATCATTGACACCGTCCAAGAGACTAACCACGGATTGGCCATGCCCTGTGTCAGTCATTGTCAGCTCATCCTATGAGGTGTGTGCATTCCCCACTTCCTGACCTGGACAAAGGAAAAAGGTTTTTAAGACAGGACTGAAATCAAGGCTTCCTCAGGGAGTCTTTTGACATGTGAATTCATTTATTTATTTCCTTCCCCTCTTTTCATTTTGCAGTGGTTTTCCCAGCGAGATTATGACAAGAAATTTAAGCCAGCCATGTGCTAACTGATGTGAAGTTCTCTCTGACAGAGTAATAAACAGAGCTATTCGTTTTCAAATGTCTCATATTCAACAAAATATCATTTTCCTCCCTGGAGTGATTAATAGGACTTGTTTTAATTCAGTTATTGGCAGTGGCTGAAAGACAGCATGGAGAACTATGGTGTCATATGTCTGCAGAGACGACCTTCCCTCTGTGTGCAAATTACCTTCCCTCACTGAGTCCTGCTGTTGGAACGCCATACAACATGGGAACAGGTAGGAGACTGAGTCATTTCCAGTTGTTTAGGTAGACTAAAAATTGGTTGCATATTCGCAATTTCCTATGCCTCAACTTAATAAATGTAGTTATTTGGAGCTGTGGAAAATGTCCTATTAAGCTAGCCCACCTTGTACTCCAGGATATGCTAATGACTGTGAATGACTTTGACTGTGATTAGGCACTTCATGTATCCCTCTTTCAAATCGTGTATGAGGCCCAGCCGGCATGGCTCAGTGGTTGAGCATTGACCTATGAACTAGGAGGTCACAGTTTGATTCCCAGTCAGGGCATATGCCTGGATGCGGTCTTGATCCTCAGTGTGAGGCGTGCAGGAGGCAGCTGATCAATGATTTCTTCTCATCATTGATATTTCTCTCTCTCTTCTTCTCTGAAATCAATAAAAATACATATTTTTAAAAAATTGGGTATGGGCCCCAGGACAGGCCATCATTTCATGGACTCCATGATCAATGAGTATCAAGTAAATGTGGGGGAGGAAGAGACTTTCCTCTACCTTCAAAGTGCCTTTGGCTGGTCTCATCATCATATCTGCAGGAGACTGATTGACAAGAGACTATAGCCAAATTCAGTTACACACGATGATAGCAGGTGTTTAGTAAATAAAAGTTTGCCCTGCCATAGAGTTAAGTCCAAAAAGGTTATCTCTGATGATTTTTATTATAGGTAAGACCCCTTATTCAAGTTCTTCTAGGTAGTTGTGTGGGGGTTGGGGGTGGTTTCTTTTGAGCCCATGAGGTCTCCATTGCCTTTAACTCAAAATCATCTGCATAGCACAAGGTACATCTTGGGTGACTCATTCTGAACCTCCCCAGAAATATCCAACAAGTGGAAAATGCGGTCCAGATAAGTAGCTGATTTATGCTTTTACTGAATCGGTGCCGTTGTCTCTGTTGTGGCCAGGCTCCGGGAGCTCGCTGCTTTCATCTCATTCTTCATGGAGCCAAAGACAAATTGGAACAGGCACCCTACAGGGGTTTTCTCTGCCAGGAGGACTCTTCTCAGCAAATGAAATGGACGTGTCCTGATGGAATGAATTTCCACAAAGACCTGCTGCAGGGAAGGTGAGTGGACAAAGCTGGCGCCACCACACAGAGCCTCACGTGGAGGCCCGTGCTGGCCCCTGCTGGCCGGGGAGGAGTGGAGAACGCTGTGGTCTCCCGGGGTCCTGTGTTCAGCCCATAGGCCACACCACAGGAGCCATAGGGTGTGGAAGGAGAACATCAGACTTCCCTTTACTTTTGTCTGCATTCTGAAAGTTCTAAGAGTTAGCATTTTTATGCGCACTGCTTTGGGTGAGTGTCAGACGAGGCCCTGAATGGTCACCTCTAGCAGTGAGTCCCTTAATCTTGACATTAGCATGGAGCTGAAGACTTATCATCCTGATTCACACAAGAAAAAGCTGAGGCTCAGAGGGTTCCAATGATCAGCCCAAGGTCACTGCCAGGAGTGTCAGAGCAGGGATTTGAGCCCAGATGGGTGGCTCCAGGTCCCTTATCACCCTTTATTAATCATTCTGTGATGACAATCTTCAAATCTTCACATGTGGAACACGTATGTAATGCATTAATTCACGCACCACAGGCACACACACACACACACACACACACACACACACACACACACTGCAGATCCCACCTTTGTTTTTCACTGAGGATAGAGGTTTGAGACCCTGGGACAGAGCCCTCCCTGAGAACAGGAGCAGGTCAATGCCAGCCCCCTGCCCCCCGAGGGTCCCTTGAGACCTAGGAATTAGTGACCCTGGGTAGGTTCCAGCTCTCATGCTTCCAGCACAGCCCCGTGGTAGTAGATAACCCCCCTGACTAATCCTCACTCAGACAGAGCTTGAGTTTAGGGTGAGTTGGCATCTAAGTGCCCGTGTCACCAGCACAGGGTGCTGCAGGGATTAAGTCAGCACTTCAGAGAGTTTGGGACCTTTTCATTCTAGATGGATGCAATTTGGGATTTTGTGGCTGTTGTTTTGGCATCTGTGGATCTAGCGCTGGTGACAGGATTGTGGCCTCACTGCCCCTGTGAAGTCCAGGGACGGGGAGGCTCCCAGGACCGCAAGTGTGTGGGGGTCAGTCTGTACCTGGGGAGGAGCCTGGGTGTCACAAGCAGACTACAGCGCCCTGCGGAGGCCTCCTGGCTGCAGAGAAAAGACCTGTCCAATACCATGCAATCTGTGGATAGGGAGCTGCTTTTCTTTACAGGAGTTAAATCTAACTCCGAGGTAAGGCTCCAGCACGAGCCATTTGGGGAAAGTCCTGGCATATTCCCTGACCTTCCATGGAGGGAACGGGGGATTGCAGCCAGACCTTCCAAGGTAGGGGACAGCTTTGCCAAAAAGTTGGGACCCACTTAGGTTATTACTCTTCTATAATCGGCTGATTGTTTAATCCTGAGAAAGATTTAAAATGGTGGTAAGAGGGAAGTATTCATCTTTAAGGGTGTGGGCCCACCCTTGTTTACACATTATTTTCTCATTTCAAGATTTTGATTTTTATTTAATTTTTTAGGTTTTTAAATTTTTATTTTTTAACCACAAGTAGACCTTACATTTATTTTTTAACAGTGGACTAATGAGAGTAAGATTGAATTATTCTATATAACACAGCTTTCTCATATCTTATAATATTAAATGTTAATACAACCTCCACCCACCTTCCACCCCCCTGTAATCAACACACTGTTGTCCATGTCTGTGAGTTCTCTCTCTTTTTTTCTTTTTTACTCAATCCCCCCACCCCAACCCCCACCAGAGCTGTCTGCCTGCTCTCTGTCTATGAATCTGTTCCTATTTTGCTTGGTAGTTCAGTTTGTTCATTAAATTCCACATAGATCAATGGAACAGAATAGAGAGCCCAGAAATAAATCCATGCCTTTATAATAAATTAATATTTGACAAAGGAAGCAAAACATACAATGGACTAAAGATAGTCTATTCAATAAATGATGTTGGGAAAATTGGACAGACATGTGCAAAAAAAATGAAACTAGACCACCTTCTTATACTGCACACAACAATGAACTCAAAATGGATTAAAGTCTTAAATGTTAGACTGGAAACCATAAAAATCCTAGAAGCAAACGTTGGCAGCAAAATCTCGGGCATTTCTCATAGCAATATTTTTTTCTGACATATTTCCTCAGGCAAGGAAAACAAAATAAAAAATAAACAAATGGGACTACATTGAACTAAAGCGTTTTTGCACAGCAAAGGAAACCATCAACAAAATGAAAAAACAACCCATTGAATGGGAGAACATATTTGCCAATGATCCATCAGATAAGGGGTTAATATCCAAAATTTATAAAGAACTTATAAAACTCAACACCAAACAAACAAACAACCCAGTTTAAAAAAAGGACAAAAGACCTGAATAGACAATTCTCCAAAGAGGACATATGGTGGCCAAAAGACATATGAAAAGATGCTCAACGTCACTAATCATCAGAGAAATGCAAATTAAAACCACAATGAGATACTACCTCTCACCTGTCAGAATGGCTATCATCAATAAATCAACAAACCACCAGTGTTGGTGAGGATGTGGAGTAAAGGGAATTATTTCAAGATTTTAAGTGGGCACCTCTCATTCGGTAAGCTCTCAAAGCAGAGACCTTGCCTTAGTGATATTGCATCTCAGGGGCTAGCCCTGAGCCTGGCACATGATAAGCTTCCAACCTATTTTTTAGATTATAGAATGCACCAACTTTGTAAGCACCACGATCCTGTTGGCTTTTTAATTGGTACCATTCTTACTTAGCGCTAGACATGATGACCATCTTCACAAAGGTGCTAGACCTGGAAGAAAGCCTCCTCTTGCTCCGGAAGCCACGACACATTCTAAAATACACTCAGTATTGTTTTTCTGACTATAAAATAATGCACACACAAAAGTTGGAAAACATAGAAACATTAATGAAGCAAAAAGATGACCCATGATCTCATTGACACATTAACAGTCCCTTCCAGTCTTTTTTCAAGCACCCTTTTTAATACATAATTGGGATTATGCTATATTCAATATCATTTTCCCCATTATGTTTTCAGCCTCTTTCCTGGTTACTAAAAATTCTTAGTAAACATTTTTAAAAGATGGTAATATTCTGTCAGGAGAGTGTACCACAATGTGATAAAAATAGATCAATAACGGTTGCCATTGGTATGGTTTCTAGCTGTTTGCTATTGCAAATAACACTGCAGTGAAATTCTTTGCTACCATTGATTACATAATTGCAAACATTAATTTAATCAATACATTGATTAAAATTTATGAACAGTTGGAGCAAGAGGTAGGGAGCTAAGCGATGGGGGAGGGTGTGGCCTTGGTTCCCAGAAGTAGAGCAGAAGCAGCCGGTGCCCTAGCTGGTTTGGCTCAGTGGACAGAGCGTCAACCTGTGGACTGAAGGGTCCTGGGTTTGATTTCAGTCAAGGGCACATGCCTGGGTTGTGGGCTCAATCCCCAGTGGGAAGTGTGCAGGAGGCAGACAATCAATGATTCTCTCTCATCATTGATGTTTCTAACTCTCTTTCCCTCTTCCTTCCTCTCTGAAATCAATATATATATTGATTTCACACAAAAGGAAGCAGCCGGTAACAATGGTGAAGGGTCGCTGGTGGGCCATGTTACCTGAGGGAGAGTGTCAGGGTCAAAGCCCAAAGCCTCAGCCACAACAGGGAAAAGTACCCTAAGTTGTTGTTTTGTTTCTTTCTGGAAAAAGAAAAGAAGTTCAGTAAAGAAAACATTCTAATAGCACTTTGGGCTGATTCTTAAACCGTTAAACATCTCAACTTTGAGAAAGGAAATGAAGATTTTATTTTTCCTCTCTGCAAAATATTCCTTTAAGTGGCTAGCAGTTGACAGCAGATTTCAACGGCATGTGTTTTGAATTCCTAGAGACTGAAATCCAGCACCTGTGAGTTCCTGGTCAGATTTTACATGTCAAGACTAGTTCCAGATGTGTGGTGCTTTGCAAACAAACCCAGGACACGTGACGTTCACCAGCCTGGCATATCTTGTCCCGCAAGGACTTCACAGGCTAGTGGAGGAGAAAGTCATTGAAAAAAGAATAGGAGCAGGAGTTCCGGTGCAGACAGCCCTGAGTTCAGATCCTGGCTCTGCCTCTGATCAGTGGGGTAACCTTGGCAATTTAATCGCCCAGTGCGTTAGTCACTTGGTCTGAAAAGGGGGATTCACAGTACACAGTCATAAGATTCAACAAGAGGATTTGGTGACGTCAGGCACTAGCTCGTGAGAAGGGCTTAACTTCAAGGGTCTCGAATGCACAGAAAAGGGCAGCACCCAGGTCAAGAGAAAAGACGACGTCACAGAGGGGTGCTTTCTGCAGTGGTCCTTAGGGGATGCTTGGCCCATGGAAAAGTGGGGTAACAGCCTCCCTGCCAGGGGAGCCGTTGCTTCACCCGTGTCATGTTGGAGCACCAGCAAGAAGTTCAAGTTCTCTGAGCTCTCGTACTCCCTGCTTCTGCTGCAGCGTTCTCTATTTGTCCATATCTCCTTAGATCAATTGTTCTCTTACCTCTTTGAAATTAATCTTCTAGAAATGCATCTTCTAGAAATCATGGATCATTAGAGCATAACCAGCTTTTAGATTTCAGAGAAGAAGGAAGAGAGAGAGAGAGAGAGAGAGAGAGAGAGAGAGAGAGAAAGAAACAACAATGATGAGAGAGAATCATTGATCGGCTGCCTCCTGCACACCCCACACTCCACACTGGGGATCGAACCCACAACCCGGGCATTTGCCCTGACTGGGAATCAAACCATGACCTCCTGGCTCACAGGTCCACGCTCAACCACTGAGCCATACCAGCCCAGTGTAACCAGCCTTTTCTATGCAAACAGAATGGTGTTGAATTTGGTATTGCTGTGTCAGTCCTCTGATATAAACAGGCACATTGTTGGTGGGTTTTAGTGTCTCTCATCTACTTTAAGTACCATCTCTACTGTGACAGCCTGCTGTCTGCTGTGTATCTATATGTAAGTATTTGTTATGTGTCACAAACTCATCCCATCCACAGCAGAACTTCTGGTTTCCTACCCGCATGAATCCTAATCTCTCAGTCTTTCTCATGACAAAATGTCACAAGAGACCCTCCAAATGCTTCAGCCAAAATGCCAGGAGTCATCCTTGATCCCTCTTCCCCTCACCACTCTACACAGCCAGTTCATCAGCTGTTCTGTCCCCTTCATCCTGAACACATGCCCCAACCATCACTTAGTCCATCTCCCCTCCTTGTCCAGGTGACCATTATCCTTCAGTTGGGCTTCTGGCGAGGTTCCACGGTGGTACCACCCATCAGCTTCCCATCAAAACCGTTATTTCAAAATGTAGAGGATCCCGCCAGGCTCCTGGGAGAAGTCTCCCGTGGGAGCTCCTTAGGGTACCTCCCCAGTTTGGTCTGACCCAAAGCCTCTCCACTCCCACCCACACGCACACCCTCTAGTTCAGACTTCTCAACCTCAGCACCAGTGACATTTTGGTCCAGAGAATTCTTTCTTACAGGCAGCTGTTCTCTACATTGTAGGACGTGTAGAGTCATCTCTAACCATACCCACTAGCTGCCACTAGCACCCTCCCACACCTGGGCAACAAACGTGTCTCCAGATATTGCCAAGTATCCCCCAGGGGAAACTCACCACTATTGAGACTCACTAGTCCCATCACACTGGCTTCCTTCCCACAGAGCAAGCCCCGTGCATCCTGATTTAGACCCATTGCAGCAGCTGTTGCCCCACCTAATGCGCTTTCTTAGGCGGTGTCTTGTCTGCCTCCATCTCTGTTCTGTCTCTGCTCAGACGTCACCTCCTCAGAAGGGTATTCTTGACCACCCAAGCTAAAGTGGCCCTTCAAAGTCCCAGGGACTACATCCCTGCAGTTTAATTTCTTCATGTCCTTTGTCAGTATCTGAAATGATCTGATTTATTTCTCTGTTCGCCATTCCCTCATTAGGTTTCAGCTTTATCAGAGTAGAAACCTGTCTGTCTTCATGAAGTGTCCCTGATATGACCAACAGGACCAGGCCTACAGCAGGCATGTGACAAAAGCAAGTGTCAAATGATACATAAATGACGTCCTGCTCCTTTACTGAGAGTTTTTTGAAGGTCAAGGAGCGGTGGCAGGAGAGAATTATAGTCACTTGGGATAATTCCAGGATGTGACTGAGAAAGTGTGTGGAGATGGTGTTTGGCAGCATCTTCCAGACTCAGCTTTCTCAGTGTGGGGAACTGAGTGCCGGGGTCCCAGGTGAGTGATCCCACAGATCCAGGCTTCTTGCTGAAGAGGCACCACAGAGTCTTCCTGGCTCTGACAGAGGTCACTTTGGGACAACCCCAGCAGAAGCATAGAAGGTCAAGGACAGTCAGGTCTCAGAGAGGTTATTGACTTAAAGGAAACCTTGACTGTTATGTCCGGGATAAGAAGCTACTCCAGGAAAGGGAAGGCGCCCCGCTGGGAGCCAAGGTGTGGGAGGAGGGGGCTGGCGCCCAACCCCATCCTCCTGACCACCCCTTGGTCACACAGGATGCATTTCCAGGGGCCTCCAGCCAACCTCTTGACTCTTCTCATTGCCAAGTACAGGGGCCAGTCTGTCTCTTCTGACCTTTCTGAAGCTGCTGATTCAGTGAATCACTTTCTATCCTCATTGTCTTCTTCGCTCTTGGCAGGCTTCCTTAAAGAAGAAACAAAACTCCTTTGAAAGATTAATATTGACCACAAAGGATACGTTTCTCCACTTTTTTTTTAACATTTCACTTTTCAATCTCAATTGATTCAACTGGTTGCGACTACAATACATTACAATTAAACATTAGAGGCAGGAGCTGGGGACCAAAGGCAATATTGATGGACTGTCTGTCGAATATTGAAGTTTTCAACATAAAAATGAATCACTTTATTATTTCCTATAGACATGCAACTGTTCAAAACAGCACACTCCTGGGTTGCAAAGGCGTCATTTAGCACAGGCCCATAGGACTTGAGCTAAGCATCCAGGAGTCTGAGCCTTTTGTACCCAGCGGGGAACTCAAGCAAGAGTCTGTGGTTCTCTCTCCAATGGCACCCGTGCACAAGGCTGGGAAATCAGGTGTCTGCCCTCATGGGAATATGCCATTTTATGGCTCTGTGGTAAGATAACGTTGAGGAATGCTCTGACTCCAGCTACCTTCCTACCTGGACAGATCTTGGTGACAATGCTCAAGAAATAAATCAGAAAAAGAATTAAAGAATTACTATTTGAGGGGAAGAGTCCACAGTACTCAACCAAAGGCTTATTAAACTGTCTCTCACACTCACACTTTTCTAGGGCTGCCATAGCAAAGTACCACCAACTGGCTTGAAACAGAAGTTGTTCTCTCATAGTTCTGGAGCCTACAAGTCTGAAATCAGATGTGGGCAGGGCCACACTCTCTGTGAAAACTGTAAGGGAGAATCCCTCCTGCCTCTTCCAGCTTCTGCGGCTCCTGGCAAGTCGTGGCATTCCTTGCAGCCACATCACTCCTCTCCCTGCCTCTGTTGTCACAGGGCACGATCCCTGTGTGTCTATGTCCGTGAGTCCAAATATCCCTCTTTTTATAAGGACACCTGCCCTATTGGATTTAGCGCCCATCTAATTCACTATGATCTCATCTTAATTACTTACCTCTGCAATGACCCCACTCCATGTAAGCTCACATTCTGAAGTACTGAGGGTGAGGACTTGAGCATATGGATTTGGTGGGCCATACATTAGGCAAGTCTATTGTGTAGCCGGGGTAGACAATCCTAGCTGTTGAAGGCCAAGAGGAGAAAACGGGGAGTTCTTTTTCCATCTCTGGGTGAGGAAGGGCCCAAGTTTCCTGTTTGACACTAAACTGAAAACCAGAGCACTCTCGACTCACTGAACAAGTTTCTGCAGGGTGGTTCACCTCTGGAAGTTCCTGTGGAGAGAGGATGTCCTGGCACGGCCACATGTCACTGAGCCAGCTGGCCTGTAGGCGAGGCCACGTCACTGGTGACCAGGTTGCTGGACTCAGAGTGTCTGTCAGAGCCACAGGCAGGAAGGATAGCAGCCCAGAGTGGCCCAGCCACGTCACCAGCAGGAGGACAGATTGGCCCCGGGGCAGGGTCCAGAGGTGCCCCTGGCAGGACATCACAGAGATGCCTTGGGTGGGCCCTTGGGGGTGATGTAGAGGTGAAGGCAGAGGATGGGGTGAGCAGTCTAACAGAAGCCTTTCTCCAAGCTCTGCCCTGTGGGAGGCTATCCCCCATGGACCCCCACGAAGAGAGATCCCCTATTCATCTCTTGCTCAGAGGTAAGAAGGTGGAGCATCCTGCCAGCACTCCTCAGTCCTAGGCCTGGCTCCTACTTCCAGAGCAAACATTCACCTCTCAGCCTCAGGGTGGGAAGATACTACGTCCCCTCCAAGGCTTTTACATCCCAGTGCCTCCAAGAAGCACCGAGGCCCCTCATCAAGGTCTCCTCGCCCGCCGGTTCCTTTCTGTCTGCACTCTTCTCTTCAGGCACGATTTTGTGTTCCCTTAAGTTATATGTCAGCTCTCTGCGAGGGCAGGGCCGGCCTGAATGTAGAGACCGGCAGCAGGAAGACGCCGGTGTGCTGATTCACGCTAGTTCCTCTCACCACGTTGGACATCCAGGATGCCTGACAGAGGTGCTAACATTTATGCAGCGCCCTGAGGTTCACCAAGGCCTGTCACACTTATCGTCCCACCTTGACTTGCCCCTTGGTAGCGCCAACGTCACCTGGGAGCCATGCCAGCTCTGAGGGCCTGTGACCTGAGCAGTCCTACGGGTCCCTGTGCTCAGGACTCTGTACTTAGAAGATCACCCACCATCTCAATGCTCTGCTCTTGTCAGCTCAGAATTCTTAATCATGTTTAAACAAGGGGCCTTGCATTTTCCTTTTGTACGGAGCCTTGTAAATTGGTAGCTGGTCCTGCCTGGGAACATCTTTAAAATGCAGAATCTCAGGCCCTGCTCTGCACCCTCTAAACCAGAACCTGCATTTTAACAAGATCCCCAATCGCTCCACATCCCGTGAGAGTGTGAGAAGCCCTCTCTGTAGCCCTTCGGAGTTGTTCGCCTAGAAGTTAGTACCAAAGATGTTATGAGGGGAGATAAAATATTTTGAAAAATGCATGTAGGACAATAACAATGTTGGCAACCTACAGATGCTTTGTTTAATAGTCTTGAACTTAGCATCTTGGAATAAGCAATACTGTCCCGTCGTTTCGGAAGGCTCACACCCAGCAGAGATCTTGTCAGGAATGCCAGCAGGGAGCAGGAACCCAGCCCTGCTCCAGCCCCATTCCTTCATTTGGGAATGGAGCCAAACATTCCTAGTCCACGTCCTGGCCAGGACAACAGGGGAATTCCTTGGCGGGGGGGTGTCCATCTGTGGGTTCTGTGGATACCACTCGCAGGCTTACTGGGGTGCTAATCCTTCTGGAGCTCGGGTAAGCTACGTGCCTATGCATTCTGGAAGTGACTGGGAACACCCACGTGGTCCCACCATGCTGAGGGGCACGGCTCTCCCACCAGGGGCTCTAACCAAGGGTGATGTCCTCAGTGACTGCTCATGGATCTTTGCAGGGAGGAAGGGCACACAGAGTCACAAAAAGCTCCAACCAGCACTCACCCAGCCGAGCATCACTGATGGAAGAGACATCTGTGGTCAGTATATTTTGGACTTGAGATCTCTGGGCGGAGATATCTCTTGGGGGAACAGTCCCACGGAAATTAAGGCAACGAATGAATGCCCCGGCTACAGGCACAACTGTGCCCTGCCACTTGCCATTCATCAGTGCAGAGCGACTCACCCCCTCATCTCAGATCTCCTCACTCCGCTGTGTCATGCCCTTGGACACTCACCCTGAACACCACCATCGTCTGGCCACGGAAATGAAGGAGCAACGATGCCCCTTTGGGATGGGTGCCCTCTCCACCCACCCACAGCAGGATTAGCACAGATTATCCCTCTTGGAATTCCCATAGAAAATGATAAATATTCCTGCAAAGGAACGCTAGTGCCTAAGAATAGGTACCAAAAAAGTTAACTCACTGAGATTCACTTTGTTTTAAACCTTAGAATTAAACCTTAAGTAGAATGCAGGTCGCTAGGGCCTGGAGGAGGGGAATGGGAAGTTAGTTTTTAGTGGTGACGGGGTTTCAGTTGGGGAAGATGCAAAAAGTTCTGGGGATGATGCTGATGGGTGCATAACAATGAGAATGTACTTAATGTCACTGAACTGGACACAAATGGTTAAAATGGTAAGTTTTATGTCAGTTGATCCCCTGTAGCTAACTTGTAGTGTGAGCCTTAAAAATAAACGAAGGAAAATAAATGGTGTGAAATATGTAAAAGTTCTCCTGAAAAATGATCAGGAGTAGTAAGACTTTTAAAAGTAACACATGCCCCTAGCCGGTTTGGCTCAGTGGATAGAGCGTCAGCCTGCGGACCAAAGGGTACCAGGTTTGATTCTGGTCAAGGGCACACACCTTGGTTTCAAGCTCCTTCCTGGCCCGGGCCCTGGTCAGGGCTTGTGCAGGAGGCAACCAATTGAAGTGTTTCTCTCACATCCATGTTTCGCTGTCTTTCTCTCTCTCTTCCACTCTCTCTAAAAATTAATGGAAAAATATCCTCGGGTGAGGATTAGCAACAACAAAAAAAGTAACAGCCCTAACCGGTTTGGCTCAGTGGATAGAGCATCGGCCTGCGGACTCAAGGGTCCCAGGTTCGATTCCGGTCAAGGGCATGTACCTTGGTTGCGGGCACATACCCAGTAGGGAGTGTGCAGGAGGCAGCTGATCGATGTTTCTCTCTCATCGATGTTTCTAATTCTCTATCCCTCTCCCTTCCTCTCTGTAAAAAATCAATAAAATATATTTTAAAAAAAAAGTAACACATGCAATGTTCCTTACACACCAGAATTTGTGAACCGAAGTGCCCATTGGCTAGTGACAGGAGAGCTGACTGCCTGCAGGTCGGTGTGGTTTCCAGGAAGTTTCTAACGTTGAATAGTATCCTTCAATTGTCCACTCAGGTTACAAGGTTATAGAGGAGGCTTCCTCCTCCCTGAAGGGCCCTTCCCCTCCTTTAATCCTCATTCCACAGCACGATGAGGAGCCTGGCACCAGGGAAGGTCACGACTGTTGATGGTTGGCCCCAGGGACGTCCCCTTACTCTTTGCTGCCAGGAAGTTCTCTCCTTTGTGGTAAAACCCTTCAGGTTGGAATTTCTCTTTATGGTCAAATTATGATCCAGTCTCCTGGCAAAAAGCAGGGATGGAAATAAAGTGCCCATGACTCTAACGAGAAAAGAAACCACTGTCGTGAGGACAGAACGAGAGAGGCCTGACTCGGCCACTGCAGGCGTGAAGATGACCGGGAGTGTCCGGAGGCAGCAAACTTGGCAGGAGACAATCCAACCGTGTGTTTGATGAGGAAACTGATGCAGACTTAGTGGCATAAATAGAGACGTGGTTTGCATGGTCTCTGGTTGGTGTTGGTGAGACCACACTGTGAGCACCACGTTCAAGTCTAGGATCCAGTTCTCGCGGGCCCATCACACCTGTGTTGTGTCGAGAGCTCAGGTCCCGGAGGGGGCAAGGAGCCACGGCATGGGAGGGAGGGGCTGTTCCAGGTCTAGCCAATTGATCGGAAACTGGATGGCCGGGCCACATGAAGGCAGGCCTAGGTCCGATTTGGGAAGCTCTAGGTGGCAGAATGCAGCGGGGGAAGCAGTGACCATTTCCCATGTTGGATCAGAGGGAGCTGTCAAGCAAGGGGTCCCAGGTGGTGGACAGCTGTCCCAGGAAGTGTCTGCACAGAGGGTGGATGGCCACGATGGCGCCTATAGGAGAATGAGAGGCAATCACTTCCTAAATTCTAGCTTCTCTCTGTGTAGGATGATGCCTCTGACTGCACACATATTTTCTAGTAAAAGTATGCTTTATTCATTTTTAGTATGGGGAACTTTGAGGTTGTGACAAGTTTAAGAACATCTTTTTTCATGAATAATAATACAAACAGCAAGAGTGCAAGCACCAAGGAAAATGGAGAAATGGGATTCTGACAATTTGTCATGAGGCCACTAGGGGGCAGGGGAAGACAGCTATTTGGAGCCAGTAAGACCCATGGCAATTCCTGCTTCCCCCACCACAAAACGCTCAAGTCAAAAAAGAAAATGTGTAGCACAAACCAAAAATGGCTTTCAGGTGAGAATAGAAAGAATAAGAGGGTGATGGTCTTCAAAAAGATAATGGTTGAGATTTGATTTTTTTTTTAGTTAATAGAAGACATGATTCTTCAGATTCAAGGTGCAGGGAATCCCGAGCAATATAAATAAAAATAGAAGCACACCAAGACAGATGAAAATAGGGCTGCAGACCACCCGAGAGGGGAAGGGGGATTAAACACCCCTGGATGAAGAAACCAGAGATTAAAACAACAACAGACAAACAGGTTACCTGCAAAACAACAGCAGCTGATCCACAGAAGCCTTCTCAGTCTCAACAAGAGAAAACAGAAGACAATGCTCATGCCAACAGAGGAGGATTTCCGATGTTGACTTCAGACCTAGCTAAACTGTCATTCAAGGACGAGGCAAAGCAAAGGCAGCTTCAGTCAAGTGACTAGGAAGAGCTTACCCCTGGCTGACCCTTCATGAAAAATATTTAAACATATATATCAGAGGGGGGAGAGAAATTAAACCTAAAGGGAATGAGTGGGGTGCAGGGAGACCGCCTTTCCTGTCCATCTTCTCTATTCTGAGTCCCCTCTCTGCTGCCCCTCACCTCCCACCACCGTCAGGAGGGACCAGTGAGGAGGACGCCCACAGACAGTGATGGTGGGAGAACATAGTGGGTCCTTCCATTCCAACACGGCCCGACATTGCATGAATCTCTGTCCACCCACACAGGTGTCCTGATTGCCTCTGGCTGGGCTTCCCTATCAGCTCACCACTCCTGCAACAGGAGATGGTGGCCAGAGGGACCCCCCCAAAGCTCATCAGGGGTGCCCCAAACTATATACCATAGCTTAGGCTATAGAAATGGCCACACTCTATCCACTGAACCACACCTTGCCGGCGTGGTTCAGTGGATAGAGTGTCAGCCAGTGCACTGAAGAGTGGTGGGTTTCATTCCCGGTCAAGGCCATGTACCTTGGTTGCAGACTCAATCCCCAGCCCTGGTCAGGGCGCATGGGGGAGGCAACCAATCGAGATGTCTCTTTCACATCGATATTCCTCCCTCTCTCTTTTCCTCTCCCCCCCCCAACCCTTCACCCCCTTCTACTGTCTCTAAAAATCAATGGAAAAAAATATCTTTGGGTGAGGATTAACAACGACAACAAAAAGAGGTGGCCACACTTTGCAATTTTGTGAGGGAAGCTTCCAGGTGTCCAGTAACTGTTCCCTTGCAACAGCGTCTGTTGGTGTTTGCTTGGGTTCTCTCTGACAAAGAATCCAGGTAGCGTAGTTGAGTTGGGAAATGATCGTAGGAGATGCTGGCAGGGGCATGGGTGGTATCAAGCTAGCTACCACCGTGGGAAGCCGAAGTTTAGCTCTGTCTGGAAAACAGAGTGTAGAAGACACATCTCAGAGTTATCCTGCCCAAGGGACCAGGGAGCTGGGGTCTTTGCACACCAACCCTTCCCACCATTGCCAGGAGGTGCTCAAGTCCCTGGCACCTTGGCCTGCTGTCCAGATGGCAAAGGGGCTTCAGGTCAAGAGAATGTCCTTGGAATGAGGTGCTGGCAGTGGGCATCTGAGCCTGTCAGCTGAGGGGGAAGACAAGGGTGTGGGCAGGGCTCAGTCAGCACCTGCCGTAACACCTTCATTCAATGCCTTTGGGAGAATGCACTTTATTGGGGGGCAGGGGAGTGAAAATTAAAAGACCCCAACAAACTCAGGACCATGACTGGCTGCCTTCCTCAGAGGTCAAAGGTCCCTTTGAACTTCCTGTGGCTCACTGGCATTTTCTAAATGAACCCGGCCTCCAGCTCCCAGTTCTCTCGAAAACATTGGGAGGGGTTGTGGCAGCCTAGAGTCTTTCGCCGTCATCAAGTGACAGAACCTAAGCACGCCCAGGCGTGCAGTTCGTCCACTGGCTTTGCTGGTGGCTTTGCTGGTGGCTTTGCTGGCAGATCGCCTGGCAGGTAGGCCTGTGCTGGGAACACCGGCTGAAGGAGCAGGTCGCCAGGATGCCTGGCCTCTGGCGGAGTTCTGATACAGAAGAGGATGCACTTGTGCAGGACTGGTATTTGCCCCGGTTTGAGTACTATAAAAAGAGCTGGAGAGGAGTTGGAAGCACCCCTGTGCCACTCCTTAAATAAGTGGGATAGAAAGCTTTCTGGAGGGACAGGGAGAACGCCAGGGCACAACACACTGCAATTTAGCTTTGGCGGCCCCCGCGTGGGTGATCTGCCCCATCCCACTGAATGGCTTTAATGACCTCATTCTTTCTCTTCTTTTGTTCATTTCTATGGTCTACAACTTTATTTTAGGTGCCTGGCATTTTAAAAGGTCTCTAACAGCTCGAGCACTCATTATTTGCAAGGGGTTCAGTTAGGTGCTTCATCTGTAAAATAATAATGCTACCCTCTCTCCTTTTCTCCCCCTCCCTCTTTTATTTTCTCTTCCTAGGAGCTCTTTATAATGAGAAAGATTTAGGCCATTTTGTCATATGGATAGCAAAAACACTTTTTTCCATTTGTCACTTTTAAAAACTTAGCATATGGTGGTTGTTTTTCCTTTCCATGCAAAAGGTTTTAAAAATATACTCGTCTCATCTTTTGTGCCTCTGGATTTTGAGTTATTGGCTCAAAAGTGTGGGAGTAGGGACACTGTTGAGGAGAGAGCAGACCCTAGGCCTGGAGGAGCCCAATTGCCGTGGGACCCTGCGTGTCTCACAGATCCGTTTAGAGAGAGCAGAGGGCACAGAATGAGAAGCGAGCTATGTCAGGGGAGCGAGGTTCAGGCAGGCCTCTGCATGTCTCCCCCAGTTTCCCCTGGTGGGTGCTGTGGGCCGCCCCACTAAGTGAGAGATGTGCTTAGGTTAGGTGAGGCCAGAGGGGCGCTCTCCCCGTGTGTTCAGACTGCACTGATGACGCCCCCCCCTCCCCCCCCGACCCTGGCATTTATAACCACGTCCAGCAGAGGCTGAGATGCTCCGACATCACTGTCTGAGGAAGGGCCTGCAGGCAGCTCGGTTCCCATGTATCTTTGCCGTTTTCCCCGCCACTGATGCAACTTTCCAGAAGAGTCCTGGGCTGTAATTAACATGCAAAAAGGGTTCTAAGAGTTCAGCAAGGTTGAATGCTAGCGTAGAGCCTCCCTCTCAGG